CCCCAAAACCCCAAAACCCCAAAACCCCAAAACCCCGAAATATGCAAGATTCTTTGAAATTATATAATTTTAACTTATGTCTTCGCAGCGTAAAACTCTCAGTTTCAACCGTAAAACTATGACCAAAGCATGGCAAGGAGGCAACCGTCAAGACTTTGTCATCATGAAGCGTATCAAAAATCAACAAGTCATCAAGTTCAATCGTGAAAGTCGTGATGCTGCTACTTTCAACAATATCGCTTACATCCTTGAGAACGAACTGCATCTCAAATAGCTACAAGAAACTCAAGCTGGTTTTCGACTTCTTTGCAGCTTTCAACGTGTTCCAGAAACTGAAGAGGGACTCAGATCATCGACTCAAGCATCAAGGTAGGCCATGTCTGACCAGTAGACGAGTACTCGTACATCGAGAAGAGCAACTTCTACCGTAGTCTTTAAACTCAAGAGGTATGACAAAGGAGACATCATCTTCGACTTCGGTGACGAAGCTGACTACTTCTACATGATCCTCAAAGGCAGAGTCAGCATCAGCATGCCGACCACGGTCAAGAAGAACTTTACTCATTCAGAACTCATGAAGTTTATCAGTGACAACCAGAACGAGTAAGTAGCCACATTTCATTGCTGGCCAATGCAAGTTCAGATTTGTATGATACAACTATGTTTGTACTCTGACTCGATACTTTTAAAGTGGTTCCAGAGTCAATCGAAAAATCTGACTCTAAAGACGCCATCAACCTTGTACTTGTTGCTTCATCATTTAGTCGAAGGGTTCAGCTAACAGTCCAACCAGCAAACTGTCCAGCCACAACAAGTCCACAGTGGCTCCGTTTACGTTCAAAAAGAAGCAGTACAGGCTTGATGAGAAGTCCCTCAAAGAGTTCAAAAGTATGCTCGACTCTCCGACTCACTCGAGCAGCAGAAGGTATGCACTTAGTAACTCTTCAGGCCTGTGTTCAGCAAGCCTCCGAAAGCGCCCAAAGCAGAAGTAACTTGCTCTGACATGTTTAGGACAAGAAAGTGCACGAACTCAGAGTCTTCGCACAAAACGCCATTCTCGGAGAAGGCACTTCGTTCGGTGAAGCTGCTCTTGGAATCAACACCGGTGTCACCAATGAAAACAAGCACTACAAAGTTGGTCCTTCTAAAGTACGCATATTCAGAAATGCTAGAGTAGTTGCACTGACACACTTGCAGTGAGCAGTCATTTCGAAAGCCAGTTTCCAAGAAATCAGAGTTAAAGAGCCTGACTTCGGTGAAGACGCACTGCTTGAGTGTCAACACATTCTCACAAACAACGGACTGCCTCATCGATTGCTGTACTTGACTGCAAAGCCAAAACTCATTGATCTCCGTATCAACAACTACTTGTTGCACCAGAATGATGAAGTCAAAGGCATTTTCTTGATAAAGCAAGGCGAGCTTGAACGCAGGAGTCTCCACAAAGCCAGTTCGAACTCTGAACTCAATCACACATTTGGAGGCTCGTCTGTAAGTCCTGACAAGAACAGTCACAGAAGGACTCACACAGAAGGGTTCTTGTCGTTTCAGAGCAGCGCCAAAGCCAACCAGAGCTTGTATCGTGATGAGAACCGCTTGATCATGGGGAAACATGTTGTCATTGGTTTGGACGAACTTGAATGTAACAAACAAACATTCGAGTACTCAATTAAGACTGTTTCAGCATATGCAAAAGTGTTCTTTGTATCGAAGACTTCGATCAGGATACACCTCCGTGTCAAGAAGGCTCCTGACCAACTCAACTCTGAAGCTGAACAAGGTATGCTCTATTGCAACTTTAGATGTTAAGAAATCGAAAGCACCCATGAAAATAGCCAAGAAGATTGTCAAGAAAATGAAGAAGGTTCTGAGGCCAAGTAAGCCTCACAACAGAACCATGAGCAAGGGTGAGTCTTGGTCGTCCTGTGTTTCAACTTTGGTGTAGACAACAGCGACCATATGATTTCACAAATGTACAAGCTGACTGACCATTGCACCAAAGTTGACAACACAAGACTCAGTCGCTCCATTCGCAAATAAGCTGATGGCAAGGTTCCACAGTATGGTGAGTGACTGATGGTTACATTGTGTTTAGAGCACACTGAGTTCGAATCTTAAGACTGCCACTGAGCCTTTAGCAGAGTCTAAGAACAAGTCTCACAGCATGTTGAAGAAGCAAGTCCACAGTATCACACGAATCAAGGGAGCTCTGAGTAAGTGTAATGGCTTCAGGGTATAGGCAAAGACTCAAAGTTCCACTTCAAACCAATGGCTCTGCATGTGGTAAAGCGGGCTTTGAAGAAACAGGCCTATTTCGGGTTTAACCTGCTCAAAAACAAGTAGTGTTGTTGATATCTTGTTATATTGATGCAGGTGTGCACATTCTATATTTGCGATATCGTAGGGGTTTTGGGGTTTTGGGGTTTTGGGGTTTTGGGG